TGCATTTCGGGTTTGTAATCCTTATTAATTTCAAGGTATTTTGTTCAGGGTAAACCTGTTGTTTAAAATTGAAGTAAATATTTTAGCGAAAATCCTCTCGCCAAAAGAGTCCGACATGTAGAATCTATATATTCTACTACTCGGTTTGTGTAGTATTCGGTAATAAATAGTATTTTTATTGATAAAATCATATTCATCCGCGTAATTTGTGATTGTGCATTTATTGACAATTCTATAAGCCAACGCTATTGTTTAACTTTAAATGCGTTGTAATTTGTTGGATACTTGTAACAAAATAAAATATTTCTTTCTTTTAAATCGCTTGTTTTAAGATGTTTTGAGAACTACTTGTTGTTAGGTTTGTCGTAAACTTCTGTGTCAGAGATTGAATGTCCGCTTTGTATTTAGTTATTTTCGATCAGAAAATACAATAAAACAATATTAGAAATCTTCGACCATTCGGATATTACTTTGCTTGAAAATTGATGCGCCTGTCTTTGACCATCTTTACGCAGTGATCTCCCCTGAATTTTTCGGCTTTAGTGTACATGCAAAAGGGAAGTAACCGCTTCAAAAAAGTGGACTACTTTCGGCATTTGCAATTAACAACATTAGACTCTGAAATTTCGCTACCATTATTTGTTTGGTCTGACGACCCAAACAAATAAAAAAACGTTTATTTTGCCGAATATTTTCTCGATAAGCTTAAAATGTTTGTCTAGGTGAAAATGTTTCTTTTTACCTTGTAAATCATTTTGTCTTTTTGACAAGAAATCGCCTAGGCAAACAACTTCCAGCATTTTGAGAAAAGTGATTAAGAATAACAACAACAACAAAAATGTTCTAGTCTAAAATGAATTGATTTTATTAAAACATCTGATCAAATCGAACAAAAATCAGTCGTCTAACTACTCATGATTGCACCAAATGGAGGCCCTTTCACGTTTCCGTAGTTTTGACTAAAACCAAACTTAGTGCTTGAAGTATCTTTTAAAAATATAATATCTTTAACTTGCAATAAAACAGTGCAAAGCATAAGGTAAAGCAATAAATTTTCTAGGTTGGGGAATTGTTAAAAAATATCCACTTTTCTGAACTTACTTCTCCGTACGCTTTAATTGCCTTTGTATATTTCTGCTTATTAAAATTTTCATCGCCCTCCTTCCGGTTTAAATCACACATCAAAATCTCCTTCCTCGTGTATTGTTCATCACTCAACATCTTCAAGTTCCTACACTTATCTTCAACTAGTAAAGGTCCATGACTCTGTCAATTATTCCGATCACAGTTATCTTTTCCTGTTTATAAAGGTGTACTACATAAATATAAATAATCTCGTTAAAATCATATCTTAACCATTTGCTAGGTAGGCGAAGAGTAACGGAGCGAAAACGGTGATATGATTTTTTATGAGATTGTAAGTATAAATAATATAAGATCACTTCTGGACAATTCTCTCCCTCTAAGATATTTGTTTGTGTATTTTTCTCAATTCCTTTCTCTTTCTAAAACGACGAGAAGTAATAATGTTTAAATAGTTATTGGCTAAAGTAACAAATAAATCCGAATTAAGGTATAACTGAATTAGCTAAACATAACAATTAATGTGTATTTCGTGAATAAAAAAAATTTATACAGTGAGTTTTTAACACTCGGTGAGTATTTTATACTCAAGCGCTCACAAACGAAAATCCAAATTACAAATCTATGTTTGTTTATCTATTCCTTTCTTGGTGAAATTAGCGGCGAAATTCATTACAGTTAAGCAAATAAAATTCAGGATTTATTAGAAAGTAAAAAAGCATGTTTTGCCTGCAATAGAAACCAAGTTTGACACGTACTACTTAAAATATATCATTTATCACTCACGAGAATACTTAAAACTGAATTAATGTTTAAAATAAAAACTTGTACATCTAATCGACAGATAAGTGTTTTTAGTACAGAAGATTTATATGTATTGAAAAAAAAACTTGCATTTATATTTTCAATATTTACCAAGGCTATGTCTGTTTAAATCCAAAATCTATTCCAATGTTTTTATCACAATCAAACACGCCGGATTTATTTTTTACTTTAACCTTATTCCATTTAATCGATCAAAATAATTCATGTTAATATATACGTAAAAATTAGATTATTAATACATAGGATTAGTGTTCTCTTTGAAAAGCGAGTAATCCATAAACAATAAATTAAACCTTTAATCTTTCAAAAAATATACAGTTTAAACTCTTGTTGATTAAACATCAATAGGGCAGGCTTTTGAAATCCGGTTGATAACATTTTTTGTGTAGCCTTATCGCTCTTTCTTATCATATATTCGTTCAACATTTCTCACTTTCAAATTATAATGTGCAAATTTAAAATGCAATTTCGTTTATGACAAATGCAGAGTATTCATTTGTAGATGTCGACTTAAAATTTTCCATTAGTCTGTTTCTAAGTTGCAAGCTTGTCCATGCGGAAAAGATATTGTTAACGGCTTAAATGTGATGAAATTCTTAATATATAGATTATGATTTAAAGTAAACGCAAATGTTATATAAGAGACGGTATAGCTGTAGACGCTAATTAAAAAATTTATCTGATCTAAGCATTGAAGGGCCGCACACGTATTTCTTATAAAAACAAAATGGAAACATTGTGTGCGTACATGTATTTTCAATGACGTTTCTTCAATAACCCTGCCAATTACCTTTACCAATAGTGCACGAGTTTCTTGTAATTAGTAAAGCGGGCATTAGAGGTTAATTTGATGTGAAATTTCCGAAAATATTGAAATATTTTCGATTATGTTATACAGAAAGTTTTGTAAATGTTTCTTACATCAGGATTATGTACAGCTCAGAGCAAAGTAAACATGTGTCTCTATACGCAAAATAAATAATATCATGGACTTTCAAAATCGATAAGGCATATTGATTTAATTCTGTTTGGAATCACTGTGAATTATTATTCTGTTTGCATATAAGTATGTACATGAAATGAGTTTATTTCAAGGAGAAACTATCTGTGTCTTTGCCTGTTTAAAATTTTCAAAATTCCTTTCCTTTTTCCATAAAGACATAAAATTTTAGACCGCTTAATTTGGGTTTTATGTCAGGTAGGTTCGAAGGAGCCGCTGGTCTTGAGCCTGGATTCATCCTTCAACAATACCTCCCCCTCCCACGTTGGAGTAGGGTTGGGTATCCCGCTCGCAGCAACCCGACTTTTCGAACATTTTCAAAAACTTCTGTTTTTACAAAACTTTATTATTCAGATATAATGGAAAGTTTATATTTCTTTACTTTTACGCGAAGTATTTGGCATGTTTTAACAGATGAATTTGCTTAAAAAATGTATGACTATAAGTCATGCGGAAGCTTTTTTGGACTTTTGTCTTAACAAAAATTGATATGTAGCTTTATATCTGTTGGTTGGGAAAATAAACGGTTAGTGGCTCATACTCCCTCTAGCCTCTTTAAACTCTGTGTTGTGTTGTTTATTATTTCAAAGGTGTATTATTAAAGAATGTAAATGATTTATGCTCGTTTTCAAAGGAGTGTAACGAATTAGAGCATAAAGAATATTAAATGAATGGTTTACAAATACAAAAATTCGTTCATTTTTTCTTGTAATTTTACAGTCGGGGTCAAACTTAAATTTATATGGTTGTGTCATTAATGTTGATTAATCCATGTATGAATAAAATCAATTAATAGCAAAGTTATGCCAAATTTTATTAATAATTTTTTTTATTTTCATCATTTCTATTCTATTACTATATTCTTTTACTATATTTAATTTTCTTTCTATTTCGCCATATAGAATGTAATACGCACATAAAAGGAAAAATCTTCTTCCCTCTTTTTTATTTTCAACTAGACATGCCAAATAACTAGGTTCTGGACTCAGTGGTTTCACACAATAAGACTTAAATTAAGTGTTTTCTTATATATGTTTATATAAATCAAGTGACCACGGGGCGGGCCAATATTAAACCCTAGGGACATGCTCATACTAGACTTTATCAACTTAGTGACCCCGGGGCGAGGCCAGCATTGACCCCAGAGACAAGGTTAATACCAGTTATTTTGTGGCCCACAATGTGATGTTACATGCCAAATATATAAGCTCAGGGCATCAAAGTTTAACACAATATGTCTCAGATGTGTTTTCAAGTATAAGTCTATATAAATCAAGTGACCCCGCCCCATGATTCATTTTAGTTTTGTGAAGGTCAATACGGCAATGGTACATGCTAAATATCTAAGCTCTAGACATTGTAGTTTCACACAAAGAAACTTTTATGTGTTTTCCTATGTAAGTCGCTATAAATCAAGTAATCCACGGGACCGGTCAATTTTGTTCACAGGAAACCCAAACCTATGTTTCATTATTAAGTTAGATCTATATTTCTGCCAAAGTTTTAATTTCCTTCCATCGGTTCAAAAGATACAGACTGGACAGGAAAATTTTGAAAGTCAAGTACAAAATGAAAAAGTATGACCTTGACCTGAGTAAGGTCTGCACATCGTCTCATAATGGTTAACATTTCTGCCAAGTAGGTTCAATTTCCTTCTACTGTTTCAAATGATATATACCGGACACGAAACCTGCTAAGAGACGAAATGATGGACGACCAGGTGCATAACATTCATAATACCTCATTTTTTTTGGGGGGGGGGTGGGGGTGTGGCAGGGGTATAAATATCATGCAGAAAATCAGGACAAATTTGGCTCTCGAGAGCATTACCCCTCTGGCAAACTATAGTAAAATGCCAAACCCCTTTGGAATATGCATTATCATTTGAGGACTTCTGGTAAAAATCATGTATCTGCACCTGATCAAAAATGAAAACTCCCTGATTTGAACGACAAATTGCGGACAACAAACAACTAACCAATCCTTATAGCAATAATCGAGCATTATTTACTCAGGTAAGCTTAAAAATAACAATTTGGTTCTTCTTCGTGCTTCTAACTATTCTACTCACATTGACTTGACAACAAACATAACAAATATAGATTTAATTATCTTTATTATGATAATAAATTATATTCAGGCACATTTGTATAACACAAGAGTATGGATACACCTACAGTACAACCTGTGTACATAAACACCCTTCATGATGAGAGAAAAATTTAGTTGTTACTGACAAATGTTGCTCTTGAGAAGTAAATAACTACCGCGAATTGTTACTTTGGGAAGATACAATACTCTTGTTTAAAGGAGGAAATTGCTCTGCAGACGGTCGCTATGTTGAGGTTGCACTGTAAAGTCAGATAAATAGTTGGTATACAAATAAATTCATTCTGCTCATGTTCACTACTAAATCATTCATGTGATTTAACATTTAGGTTTAACACTTTATCATAACTCACATAAATATCTTTAAACAAATTACATAAGTCACTCAATTTCATAATTATTCCCTAACTTGTAAAAAGATGGTGACAATATAAATGCATAAATAGCAGAAATCGTCACCTTAGTGCAGTAACAGGTTAACAGCTTGTAAATTTAATAGGAGATAATGAGTTTTTGCACTAAAGTGACGAAATATGCTGTCAACATACTGGCTTTTAAGAAAAATAAAATATAAACATATTTTAAGCACTATATTAAATTTGCGTATATATTTGCCTCATGATAGCCAATTGCATGTTGCAGAGGAGACACAAAAATCAATTAACAGGCCAAATTACCTTATTTTTTTATTCAGGGCCATACCTCAGCCAAAAAAATCATTCAAGCAAAAAAAACAACAACATGTAAAATGCACTAGAACTTGAGCTACTGATCAACCCTGTAAAGTCTTACTGAAATTGCAAAAATGGTATAAGAGGAGTAGTCAAGACAAACTTAAAATGAACATGGATATTCATCGAATGACATTTTATTAAGTTCATATGGACAGATGACAAAGAAGTGATACCTAACTTTCGACGTTACTTTGTAGCACAAAAATAGTCTTAACAAAGATGCATAATGTAAAATAATATACATATTAAGCAAAAACTGCACAATACTGACATGTACCATACTTTGGGGTATTTTTGAAGAGGTTAATTTTTCACCTATCTAAGTGGCGGAATAACAACGGAAAATATACTTATAAATATAACAAAAACATATCATAAATTAAATACAAATTATACGATTGAAAATGAGACAGTACCTTAAATCTGATTTTTTCATTCTTCGAATTGAACTACATGTAAGTCACATGTAAGCAATTTCGTTTTGTTTTGTTTCACATTCGTTAAAGAGTCTATCCTTTTTTTCCATATTATATAAAAATTAATAGTAAAGATAAAATGTATGAAAGGCAGATATTTCAATAGATACTGACAATAAATAAAATCATGGAAAAAAATTAACACTAAACATACTTATGTAATATTTAACAAATTTGTTCTGAATTTCTATCAACTAAAATCTTTTAATATTAATGAGTTTGAAAATACATATTATCAAAAGCTCTGAACCATTACTATTACAATAGCTGTATTTACTCATTTGACCTAATGTTGATCTTATGATTTATTGAGTTATATGTTCTTTATTCATTCTTTTTCTTTCCCTTCTTTATCATTTCTGAATTAAAACCATGCAAAATAACAATCAAAATATAAAACAAACAGACTATTTACTACACTATACTATAAGTTTAATAAAGATTTACAATTTAACAAAAAAAAACAACAAAAAAAAAGAACAAGTTTTGAACCATTTCATTTTGGAGTGCGCTAGTAATGTATATAATTTACCCACGATCCCACTAACATTTGCCAACGAGATGGATATACCTGGAATGTAAAATCTTTTTCTATACAAATGTACAGAATTTTCATGGCATTTTTATCACATTTTTTATTCAAATTAATTTTATCTTAATTTTTGTTTTCATTACTTCCATAAAAGTGCAGGTTATATATAATTACGGAATGTACATCAACAGTCTGTAAGTGGAAAGTAAAAAGACCTTGTTAAGGACCAACAAAGGCCCCTTTATTCAGCATTCAAGTAAAGATTAAACATTATGTTTTTTTACTATTAGTCACTATTGATCACAAGATAAGTGTGAAAGGAACTTCACTGAGGTCAAGTAAAAACACATAAAATTTGATACTCTTACATGAATATCAAATGGTACACTTTAAACAGAAAAATACATGTATACAAAATATAATGTATAATAAAGAAATAAACTTAACATGACAACAATAATCAACATTTTTTGTTCAATTTTAAGGCATTTTGAGTCAAAAGGTTAGATCATATGGCAACTTTCCAGCCTGACTGTTGGAGGAAGACCTCAGGTGCCCCTCTGTGCATTATTTCAGGCACAAACTGGCACCAGAGTAGAACCACCAACTTTCCAAAAGCTAGCTTGATTATTGCTAAGCTTTCTCACATGAAAAACTCCAAAGACACTTGAGTAGTTCGAACCTACCGTAACAATGATAAGAGGCAAATTGTTAAAAGTAAATGACCTTTAACACTCGGTCATGGACATTCCTACTGTATAAAAGGTTCAGAGATTTTCTTTAGCTCCTGTGATCCAGATATGAACTTAAATATTTTAACTTTGAACAAATTTGGTAGTCCTAAATGCAGACATCCCGGGAAAAAGTGTCATCAAATTTGATTCAATAATGTCACAAGAAATGCTGTTTCAAGCAGGAGTGGATTACAGAGGGACAGATAATCATTCCATGTCCACTCACATGAACGTTCACAGATGAGGTCAAAATATAAAATAAATATTTCAAAACATTTAAATAAGATCTACAAGTTTGACACAATAGTAGGAACATGAAAATATACTCAACAACAAATTTGTAAAAAAAATAAATATACATAATTATACAGATCTGATATTCAAGACAAAGAAAAACATGATGGCCCAACATAATACTCAGCATTCTCTATAAATTCAAAGATTGCATTGGCAACAGAGTAATTCAAGATCTTTTTTAATTTCTATTTCATTATTAATGAGCACATATAAGTGCAAATAAAGTATACTATCTGCCATGATTATTTTGAATGATCCATAACAAAATATTTAACTTAGGGATGATTATTTCTCCTTTTCTTATTTATCTCTGGTGACCCTTAGTGGCAATTATTTAAAGTAAATCTTCAAAATATCAAACTTAAGGTATTAGCACCCTAATGCATTACCTCCGCTTTGAAGAGTATTCAAATAGGCTAGAACTACTTATTCTGGTTCCCGGCATGCCAAGTTTAAAGAATTTCTATTGAACAGTTTTAATTTTGCCTATATGTCTATATGAAAACTCCCAAAAACGTCCTTAAGAAAAAAAGTTTGTAAAATGTAAAACAATTCACAATAAATGTAAAAAAATATTAATGTTTAATACAGAATATAACAGAATACATTTAGTATTTGTATTATCTTTCTATTTTCTACCCACTTACAGAGTAATGGAAATTTCAGCAATTATTAACTAAGTGTACGTAATTTATACAGATACATGTAAATAGCACCTTAGGCTTGTTTAAATCACTTAAAGTGATATTATGCCAATCCAAGTGTAAATGGTCATTTAACTGGTAAAAATAAGAATAACTTAACAATATGCCATAATCGTGTTCAATTTTATATTTTAGTACGAAATATTAATCAATAATCCACTTGACCAATGAATATTTCTATAAATATCATTCAGAATGTATTGAAAAGCTCACTTCTTAAAGTGCATTAAAGATACATGAAGTTAACGTTAGACTTAATATGATATTTCACCACCTTCAACTCCTTCCAAAGTTATTGATCTGTTAGCTATTTTTTGTTCATGTAATAGGAACATATATTTTTGGTCACCAACATAGTATAGGTCACATGGCAACTTTCCAGCTTTAATGGTGGAGGAAGACTTCAAGTTTCCCTCTGTACATTATTTCAGGCACAAGTAGAACCACCAAGGTTAGAACTGCGAGGTTTGGAAAGCTAGCTGGTTAGCTTTCTTTCATGTAGAATCTAAAGACTTATGCAGCTTGAACTTAGAGAGATGAGGGGAAACTGGATTTAAAATAAACAACCTTAACCATTCGACCATGGATGCCTCGTAATAGAAAATTTTCAACATCATTCTACTAAGCAACATTTATATACAAATGAATACTCATGTACAGTTAAATTTTCGTTAACGATTATGGAGGTTTTGGGGAGTTTTCAATTTATCTCAGACATACAGGTAATATTAAAACATTTCAACAGAATTTCCTTAAACTTGGCATGTTGTACTAAGCTACATATATGTACAGTATCAATTTTTGTTAACAATTAAATCATGTATAATTATATTAACCCGTTAAATCATACTTATACAAAATGAATAATCCATTTCAAAGAATAAATTTCGGTTTGTACGCCAACAATTTTGGTAATACTTGCTGACCTTGGTTTTCTTCTTTTAGATCAACGGCTCCAACATTATCGCTACTGTCAGCATTGACTTTTAGTTTTACCAATGGTTCTGTTTCTTTTTGTTCCGATACAGGACTATTAAAATGTTTGTAAATGTGAAGCTCTAATTCATCTGGAGAAGTGAATTTCGACTGACATATACCGCAAACAAATTCATCGTTATGTACATGGCTGTCCATATGTTCCTTCAGTCTGTTTTCAGAGCTGAAAGTGTCCTCACAAATACCACACTGAAACATTTGTGCTGGTAAATGAGTCTCGGCGTGTTGTTCTAAAGCAGGTGTAGAGGAAAATGTCAAAGTACATATTTCACAAGTTAATATTTCTTCATTCTTATCTGCCTGTGACTGAATGTTTTCTGAAGTACAGTCGACTTTGTCCGTTTTCTTTGATGTGTTTATATTATTCTTTAAAGGCGAGTATTTCAGTAACTTATCCAGCTTTTTGTGTTGTTCTTCCTCTTTCTTATTATTTTGCGCTTTATCAAAATCAACAGAAACTTTAAGGATTTTATCACTAACCTTTTTGTGAACTGAATCTTTATTCTTAAAACAATCAACCAAATTTGACCGAGTAGATTTTCTTCTTTCCTGAGAATAAGGAACTTTTCGTTTATCATTTCTATGAAAAGATTTTTTCTTGGCAACTGCTTTACTCTTTGTAACATTTTCTTGTGCATTTGCAAGTTTTTCTTTAAATCCTGCATCTCCCTGGACATTAGCTGTTCTTTCATCAGTTTTTCTGTCAAATCTTTCAGTCCGAGCTCGTTTAAATTGTAATCCATCTGATCCCTCCGGAGATGTGGTGCGTTTTCTCTTACCCAGATATCGTTCAAGTTTTAATAAGGTCATTCGTTCCACAACCACTTTACATGGCCAGATATTATACTTTTCCAAAGCATTGCGTTCTTGTAATTTGTTTTCAATATGTTTTAGTTCTGTTTCATGCATGTCCAAATCAGATGAAGAAGAATGATCCTCATTTCTACCAGATCTTGATTTTGTTCTTTTATTTCTAGGACTAGGTATATCAACAGCAATTTCTTCAAACCCAGATGAATCAGTGTCCGATAACTCACTATCTGTATCATCCTCAATGAACACTAACTTTTCTTTGGGTTTCAAAGATTTGTCTTCAACCTTTTCCTTTCCTCCTTTTGTATTTACTGGCGAGTATTCTGTAGTTTCTCTTACCGCTTCAAAACTTTCTTCCTTTTCCTTTTCTTTCAGTTCATCCACATTGTCAGCATCTATTTCTTCTTTCATGCTTTCATTTACATTTTGTATATGAAGATTATCGACCACTTCCGGACAAATCACATGGTTATCTACCACATGGTTATCTACACAAATTCTTTGAAAGTCATCTTTTTTTGAAGCTTTCAGAACAAGATTATTTCGGTTTGTATTTGTATGAATGTCTTCACATGAGCATAAATGGGACATTAAAGTATCCACTGACTGGAAAAGAATTTGCGTACAAAGGCACATAATTTTATTAAGTTTTACATTAATAGGTTGATTGCAAAATGTACATTTGCCACTTATGTTGAGCTGTGTCGTATTAAAGCAGCCACCACACTGTATCTTACTTAAATACCTTATCAATAAACTGGTAGGTACAGTAACAGTATCGTTATCATAGCCACTTACATGTTCCTTTGCTGGTGAACCTTCTGATAAAGGACTATCTGGAACAGTGTGATCTTTAGCAATGTGTTGTACTAAAAGTTTCGTGGATTGGAATGAATTTCCACACTGTCCACACACAAACTCTGATGCACTGTGATTTTCAGATATGTGTGACTGTAAATCATCATGACTTCCAAACTCCTTTTGACATTGGCCACAAGTGAATACTGAATTAATATCTGCAAAACATAATCTTAAATGACTTTTCATCTCCTTGATACTGTCCAATTCCAAATTACATTTACCACAAATGTAATCAATGTCTCCCAGTTTATCAACATCATTGTCAGAATCCTTCTCACACTCATGCTTTGACTCAAAATGTGATATCAAATCATCTTGCGACTCAAACTTAACATGGCAAAGTCCGCATTCAATATTCACCATTGGATGGAATAATTCCATATCATAAGAGGTCTTCCCCAAACCACAAGATAATTTATCATTGTCTGGGATCCTCTCCAACTGAGAAGATAATCTGTTATCACTATAGGATATTTCGGAATTCTCTGATCTACTAGGACATCCACTTGACACATGCAGCTCTAGATAAGAGCTATCTGTAAATGTCAAACTACAAAAGCCACACCTATATTGGACCTTTCGTACTGGTGTTTCCTCATTTACAATTTGACCTTTTAACCTTTGGGTCAATTTTGGAAACGATCCTATTGCACACCTTGACCTTTTAAAATGTTTATGTAGGTCATCACCATTTCTAAATGTTGAAGAACAGATTGAGCAAGTAAAATCTGTGTCAGTCTCCTTTCTTTTCTTTTTTCTGGAAGTAACAGTAAAGTATCAAGTTAAGGTCTATAAAATCAAAACAAAAAAACCAACTTGTTGCAAGAACTGCTTTTACATTTAGGCATAAATAATTTTGTTTTCTAATCCTTTTCGTTTCATAAAGAAAATTCTGTAAGTATTTGCCTGGCATACCCATTTTTGGGCACATTTGCCCACAATTCTTTATTTAGAATATATCTTCATCACACACATTTAGTCACTGTGACGTTGATCTTTGATATACAGTTACTGACCTCAAAATCTATAGAGTTCATCCAATGATAATTACCACCCTCCTCACTACAGGAGGACTGTAAATCAAAGCTTTCTATACTAACTGCTATCAGTTGCATAAGCTGTTTTTGTGAAGTGACCATGACCTTTGACCCACTGACCTTACAATTTATAAGAGCAATCTACATGTACTTGTCTAGATCAATAACCCCAGTCTTAAGGTCTTTCTGTAGTAACTGATCAGGCAAGCTTTTTGTGACCAAAGTGTTGGTGACCTTTACTTCTGATTACCACAAAATTAATAGGAGTAATCTTCTAAATTTAAAAACAACCTACCTTAACTATTATTAAAGGATTGGTAAGACAAGCTTTTTGTTGTCAAGGTCACAGTGCCTTGACCTTTAACCAAATGACTTCAAATCTCTATGATTTCAATATTGAAATACATTTACCAACAGTAAAAGCCTGTATGAATGTGTAGACTGGCCTGGCCCTATACTTATGGCAAAAGCTTATAAACACATTGCATTCAAGCAAGTTTCAAGTTCAATAAAATGAAAAAAGTCTCTATCCCCCAAAAAAAGAAAAACAACAATAAACACTATGGTGGCTTTTAAAAGACAACAAAACATTTTGAATACTGGCTACAACTATTTAATCAGCTAACCTGCTTTTTACTTTTGTCTCTGTTACATGGGATCTATCTGTTTTCTTTTTAGTCAATGAGGTCTTCTCTTTCAATTTGCTATCTATAGACTTCCCTTTCCCAGTCCTACTGCTTTAAAAAACAAGAGGGCCATGATGGCCCTAGATCGCTCACCTGAATTATCAAACTCATCCAAACAATTACCTAGACAAGCATTCTGACCAAGTCTCATGACAGGTGAGTCAAAAATGTGACCACTACAGTGTTAACAAGGATTATCCATATTTGAGCAGTGCGACCTAGTTTTTTACCCAGGTGACACATATTCAAACTTGACCTAGAAATCATCAAAACAAACTTTCAGACCAATTTCCAGGATACTTGGATCAAAACAGTAGCAACTAGAGTGTTAACAAGATTTTTCTATTTTTAGCTCCGGTGACCTAGTTTCACATGCGATTTCGAACTCATCCAAGCAATTACCTAGACAAACATCCTGACCAAGTTTGATGATAATTGAGTCGAAAATGTGACCACTAGAATGTTAACAAGGTTTTTCCATATTTGGGCGGTGTGACCTAGTTTTTCATCCAAGATGACCCATGTTCGATCTTGACTTAGAAATCATCAAAACAAACTTTCAGACCAATTAACAGAATATTTGGATCACAACAGTAGCCACTAGAGTGTTAACAAGATTTTTTCTATTTTTAGCTCCTGTGACCTAGTTTTTCATCCGAAATGTCCCATGTTCGATTTATTCCCAGCAATGACCTAGACAAGTTTCCTGACCAAGTTTGATGACAATTGAGTCAAAATTGTGACCACTAGAGTGTTAACAAGGTTTTTCTATTTTTAGCTCCTGTGACCTAGTTTTTCATCCGAGATGACCCATGTTCGAACTCATCCGAGCTATCACCTAGACAAGCATCTTGATCAAGTTTGATGATGATTGATGCAAAAATGTGACCGCTAAAGTGTTAACAAGGTTTTTCTATTTTTAGCTCTGGTGACCTACTTTTTCATCCGAGATGACCCATGTTCGAACTCATCCAAGCTATCAACTAGATAAGCATCCTGACCAAGTTTGATGATGATTGATGCAAAAATGTGACCACTAGAGTGTTCACAAGGTTTTCTATTTATATAGCTCCGGTGACCTAGTTTTTCATCCGAGATGACCCATATTCGAACTCATCCGAGCTATTATCTAAACAAGCATCCTGACAAAGTTTGATGATGATTGGGTCAAAAATGTGACCACTAGAGTGTTCACAAGGTTTTTCTATTTTTAGCTCCTGTGACCTAGTTTTTCATCAGAGATGACCCATGTTCGAACTCATCCAAGCAATTGACTAGACAAGCATTCTGACCAAGTTTGATGATGATTGGTTCAAAAATGTGACCACTAGAGTGTTCACAAGGTTTTTCTATTTATAGCTCCTGTGACCTACTTTTTCATCCGAGATGACCCATGTTCGAACTCATCCAAGCTATCACCTAGACAAACATCCTGACCAAGTTTGATGATGATTGGGTCAAAAATGTGACCTCTAGAGTGTTCACAAGGTTTATCTATTTTTAGCTCTTGTGACCTAGTTTTTCATCCGAGATGACCCATGTTCGAACTCATCCGAGCTTTCAACTAGATAAGCATCCTGACCAAGTTTGATGATGATTGAGGCAAAAATGCGACCGCTAGAGTGTTCACAAGTAATTGTGGACGGCCGGACGGACGACGGACGACGGACGACGGACGACGGACATTCACCGATCCTAAAAGCTCACCCTGAGCAAGCTCAGGTGAGCTAAAAATCAAAATAAATATAAAAATTAAAGTACTGGAACAATGTCAATTTGAGTGAACTTAATAAGGAGAAATCAATAATAAAAACTTTCCTATTTAAACATACAGAACACAAAAAATAATTTACATAGATTCCTTATAGACGCAACAAGAAATATTGCTAATGCCATTATAGTGATTAAAGTGATTGAGGCCCGCATGGAAGATCGGGAAACTGAATGTGTTAGCCTCATTAAATAAAGTTGTTACTTACTTACTTACTTACTACTTACTTACTAAAGCTCCCCAAAAATCAGCACATTTGTCAGTGTATTTCAATACACATGACATCAATAAATAAAGCTGTACATGCAAGAGTGTTAAAACCTATCTTAGTATCCGTAGCTTTAAACCCTTATGACCCCAGTTCTGCATGGAATTAAATTCATTTAACAATTTTTAAAGGTGACCACCAAAATGACCACCTGTGAAGATTGGATGAAATTAGCTTAGCGGTTAATGAGCAGATGTCGTTTAAAGTAAAAGTTGACAGAGGGACTACGGACGTCCGATCACAAAAGCTCACCCTGTCCCTTTGTGACAGGTGAGCTTATAATTTAAGCTGTATATGCAAAATTTCAGTACCGCTGATCACGTCTAAAGAAACCAAATAACATTCATTATACTAAACCTGAAATTTTGCAAGAAATGTTCCTACTAAATACTAAAGACATTCTTAATTTGGTAAATGAAAGATTGCACAGAAATCTATCTTTAGCTCCTGTGACCTAGTTTTTGTAAAGAAATGACCCGTGCTAAAACTCATTCAAGAAATTAACTAAAGCATCCTGACCAAGTTTGATGACAATTGAGTCAAAAATGTGACCACTAGAATTTTTAAAATGATTTTGCATATCTGAGTGGTGTAACCTAGTTTTTTTACCCCATGTGACCAATATTCGATCTTGATCTAGAAATGATCAAAACAAACTTGCAGACCAATTTCCATGATATTTGAATCAAAACAGTAGCCAAAAGTGTTAACAAGATATTTCTATTATTAGCTCCTGTGACCTAGTTTTTCATCCGAGATGACCCATGTTCGAACTCATCGGAGCAATTTCCTAGACAAGCATCCTAACAAAGTTTAAGGAAGATTGAGGCAAAAAAGTTACCACTAGAGTGTAAACAAACAAATGTGGTTAGACGACTGATGACAGACGATGGACATTCAACCATCCTAAAAGCTCATCCTGAGCTAACTCAGGTGAGCTAAAAATCTAGATGCACACAACTTTTTATTAGTGATGTACATTCAATATTCCATGTACATTGTATAGTTAAACTAAAGTTACTAGCAGGGACTGCTTTTTCAAGCGAAGTCAGGCCATAACTTAGTCTTAAATCTCATTACTTCACCCTAATTTCAGCATTATTCTTGATAAGATGCTTAAGACTTGTGCTAAATCTTTAGTTCTTTCCGATTAGAATAAAAAGCGTACCTCCAAGTCGGACTTTCCCTAGATCCTGCTTTCCCTTTGCCTGCCGGCAATTCCGGTTTGTCTGAGCCAGAAACGTGACATACTTTTACATGGTTCATGAAATGTTTCAGAATGGTATATTTTTTCCCGCACCGACACTGGAATTTCTTCTCCTCGTTGTTGTCCTTATGAGGTCCTTTGTTCTTCTTCAGTCCCATTTCTAGTGGAAATTTTGCTTTAAGATTCTCACAACATAAGTTACTTCCCCTATAAAAATAAAATTATGGACAAAATATTATACTTAATGCCATTGATTGGTTGAATTCTCTATTACATCTTTTTTATTGCATACCCGTGCAGCTTTTGCGTCTCCATAAAATGGTATTGCAAGATGGTACATATATTTTGACATGACATCATTTATATTATACAAACATAACCTTAAAACTTCCTAGAACTAACCAGTACCTGTGTTGTGTATTAGACTTATCATAATCATTACCCCAATAGGGCTCAGTGACAAAGTCATTACTCATTAAGGCGTGATGGGTTGAAAAGGTACTCTCAAGTACAATGGTTGAATAATTATCGTTCACTTTCTTACGTGTGAAGCAACATTTAATTTAGTATATTCACTGAGCTGCTAAGGGAGGTAGGATGAAAGGCAGATCTATACCTTAACCAGGGACTGCAAAATCAATTGTCCATACTGCTGAGTGCTCAGGTTGTCCCAAAGCATGTGCGTTACAAACAGAATTTATTTTATAATTAATATTAAATGGGCAAGTAAAGAAAATGTTCATGTAAAAAAAGACAAGTTAGTGGAAAATAGATCTAGCTGGCCCTGATTGTTGCCCATGACACATTAATGTATTATGTAAACATTTGTATGTGTCCCCATTACACTGCATGTTTGTCAATGTTGCAAGAATACTGGCACTATAATAAAGTCCTGGCACAATAATAAGGCTATGTGTCCTTAGTCCAACTAATTGTACTGTGCGAAGAGATATGCTATTTTCGCCTCAAAATATATTGACCTGCCAAAGCGAGATTCTGCCCCAGAACAAAAATATCTCAGAATCAAGCTTTGCGGCATGTCAATATATTTTGACTACATGTGTACCCTACTTACATCTTTCACTGCTTATAGACACGGACTTAAATCATGAAGCACATGCCCAACATCATGCCACCTATGAAACCTTCACCTTGATTTTGTATATAGTAAAATACTAGGCTCTGTCTTATTGGCCTGAAATTAGAATTTGTATTTGTATATTAAAGAAATTGGCTGGCAGAGAATTCAAAAGTATGATGGTTGCTGGGTAGAGTATAATATTTGTCTTTAAGGCAGGGGAGGCATGTGTCTGATGAGCCAGGTAGAAGTAATAATAAGGACTAAAGGAGGCATTGGTACTACAACCAGTCATGAACAATCTAATAGAACATCAGTAGCCTGGCCTAAATCCTTTTCCAAGGAAGCACCATTGTAGTTAACTTGTTTATGACATTGCTGTGAGGGAAGAAGTTGCTGGTGAGCCATCCAGCAGCCCTACACTGTACCATCTTGATCTGTTGTATTTTACTGTGTATTACGACTACACTTTGTGCTGAAGATACTTGAGCTGTGGTCTAACAAGCAACATCCCCAAACACTTATTGAGTAATTCCATTAGTTCTGGCTTCCATAATTTGAAATGTCAGTCACTTATTTTTTTTTTTGACATTGTGCGAACAGATCTAGCAGTACTATAAAATCTGTTCGCTGAAATCTCTTCATCTATGATTCCATCAGTTTTATCATGCCAAAATAATATGAGAAACCTTGATAATACCACAGGTGTTCGGCGTGTGACACTTAGCATGATGAAAACCATTAACCATTGTCTATGTTTATATAATCCATACATATCATGTCTACCTAGAACTATCACTAAATGTGATTAATACCACCGCAAGACTGCTTCGGAAATGAGGAAGTTACTAGTAATAGAACACCTTGTAAAATAATTGAACTAGAATAATAGTTGTGTGCAATTAAAGATAGTTAAGGTAAAAAAGTTGGGTAACTGTATAATTATTAAAAGGGACAAGGCATGTATAGATTAACTCCGTAGGACTGAGATCCTGTTCAACAAGATCCTGTGCTTATATATTCTTTTTTTCGACTTTCAAAAATTTGCTTCTATAGATTGTTTCAATAATGATTACTCTAACCCACGAAAACTGAAACTCATGCTTATGTGCCACCTGTAGATCACCTGTGTAATAAGACCAAGTTGACCTGGTTTATGCTTATTCGGTAAAGAGTCAACTCGGCCCTATTCCAACTCAGCAAGGGCCAATTTTAAAAAACTAATAAAAAATATTAGTTTCTTCTGGTTACTTGCATGTTATCAAGGCAAACCGTTTTAAATGATAAATAAGAGCTACTGTATCTCGTATATTAGTATATAATTGTACATTGTACTTCTGCAGAATTAAAGCATATTAAGAAGAAATTTGTTTCTTCTTGTAGATTTGTTAAAAATCAATATAATACAAATACGTGTTTCCTTTGATGCTTTTGTTTCTAAAGCAATCTTCAGTTAAATTAGTGTAATATTTGCAGAATTTAGGTGCCTTGAAATGTGACTGTTTCAATAAATAAATGTTCTGTATTTTTGTTTCATGTCACTGTTGTGTTTGTTCATCGCCATCGGTAAATGCATATATCTTGATTTTTGTCTCATCTTTTGTCTGTATTTTTTTTGGTTATTTTTGATAATACACGTTTTATTGAAATTTGAAAAATTTCAAACGTTTGTTCTTTATCTCATTATTATATAATACATTAAACATGTTACACAGACTTCTCGAAAGTTAAAAAAAAAGTGTCAGACATTCGGTCTGACAAACCATGAAAATCTGTCGGACCGAAACGAAATCTGTCAGACCGAATAAAATGAATCAAAATCAAAGGAAAACTTGTTTTTGTATTTCTAAGACACTTATCAGTTTTAATTTTTTTGCCGTAAAAATCTGCACAGTCCGTATAGCGCATCATCTCCTCCCAGTCATACCCCAATGATTCACAGGGAAATCTGTAATTATTTTATTAAATCTTTATATATAATTCAAACAAGGGATATGAATGAGTCATTACCCAAGTTCTACTACAAACACTTCATTAAAACCTGTAACATTGCAGGAAATAGCTAACATTTCAGTATTTACATTGGCTGTCAAGTTGTCGGCTGATGAAAAAAACGCTATTCGTCGCGGTTAAAAGCCGTTATTATCCGGATTATTATTATTCATTAGCCAATGAAATTGACTGTCACTAACAGAAGTTGGATTTACACATGGAACATACAGTATGGGCAACATCAAAATGGAAGCCTAGGATAGAAATTATCAAAACAAACAAAAACTGTTACAATAATTTGTACCAGAAGTTAATGATTGCAACATTGATGGTGGTGGATGATTGATATTTAACCAATACATGATTAAACTTCCTTATATGAGCATACGTTTGCATTAGAATTTAGATGTCGTTTTACATGTGTAATTTTACAAACCGAAATTTTATGAATGTGTGTAAAAATGAAACATGAAAGGTTGTTTTTAATAATATCTTGTCCATGTAACAAAGTGAGTCATTTCTTTTTAAATTATCGATTCTTTCATCAATGTCCAACAATCAAAAGAAGAAGAAAAACTGTTGTATACTGCGTTCTATTTACTTTTTCATGAATTGAGTAATTTGTATCCCTTGTTATATTATATATGCTTTTCTCTCGTCGATTCGTGACTCTTATTTGGAAAAAATGCACTTGCACAACAAATATCAGACATACATACAGTTCAATAAGTGCATTTGTTAAATAAATTCATTATTTTAAGTTCAAAATCTTTAAATTACTTCTAAAAACAACCGCTCAAAGATAAGAGCATCTGAACATGTCAACCATGATTGTCTTGCTCGGCTGGACGCTTACCCAGCGATTCGTGATATCCGATTCACCCTGTGACGTCATCAAAATAAAGGCGCTCACACCACTAAATGTTCGCATGGTTATTTTCAGTCCGATCTGATCAATATAATTTATGTTTCAAAGTCTTAAGTTAATTCTTACAGCATAATGAATTTTTTTGGCTTAATTGCAAGTGTGTTTGAAAAATCAAAATTACATTAACATTGAATATTTTAAAGTAATTAGGTCATCAGCTGATTGAAGGGTAAGCTCATTTACACTTCAATTACGCATTTTGACTGGATAGAATTGTCAAATCGAGTTTCGAATAAAACTTGTGTAGTTTTCGGATGGTGTATGTCCTTGCAGAGGTATTTATACCAGCCATTTATTTAGGTCTCGAATCGATGGAAGGCACGAATCGATAAGAATAAGGCATATTTAGTGGGAAAGGAAAAAAATGACAGAATCCCCTGATCAACGATTCAAAGTCCTGGTTCCATTTTTCATTAAGGAAGTGGCTAGCCGTACGGGCCCGTACGGCTAGCCAAATGTTCTAGCCGTACGTGAGTCACGTACGACTAGCCAGGACACATTGTATTGGCTAGCCGTACGGCACTTTTAAAAATTATATGGAAGTCGAAAATGCATATGTTATTTTATGACTTTAAGCGAGGATTTGTACAAGACACAGCAATTGTCTTCGTATGTTTACTTTTTAGAGATTAATTGCCTTGTTGGCTACAGTAAAGAAAGTATACGAATACAGTATATATTTTTGTCATCTCAAGACGTCGAGAAAAAATAGCGTTTGATTGCAGTTAAATAACATCAATTGAAATAGTTTGCAAAACTTTGATATATATATTTTTTGTTTCATTTAGTTTAATTTCAAATGAAAAAAAGGCCGAAAATAATTGTTGTTGGGCTCTGATAATTGCGTCAATTACCGACTGTATAGAAGTTTGTCCATCATTAGGGAAAGCTTGCCTTAATTAATTAACGCTTATTAATTGATTGTGCTTTTATGTTCGATATTTAAAATTATCTATACTGTATTTGAAAATTATTAAATGGTTTTTGCTTTTCACCGTTTTTTTTTCAGTATTCTTTTTATTTACTTATTTATTTATTTAATTATTTATTCCCCTCCGAACATTATATATTCGATCCATGTGCTTAATTAACAAAAATGATTTAACAATTTATCTTTCATACAAATAATTTAAAACAACAAATCATAAGCATGAAAATCTAGGACGTTATAACATACAACTTTGACACTTTTATCAAAATAGATTACACAACGCTTGTTCGTATTCATTTTTTTACAAAATGACGGAGCATCTTTATTAAAGAGAACACACTAGGACAAATACGGAGACTTGATTAAAATCCTCGTTTAAAGACACAACATAACATATGCATTTTCGACTTCTACATAATTTTGAAAAGTGCCGTACGGCTAGCCAATACAGTGTGTCCTGGCTAGTCGTACGTGACTCACGTACGGTTAGAACTTTTGGCTAGCCGTACGGCTAGCCACTTCCTTTCATTAAATTTTGTCTCAGGTCTTATTCTTTTCATCCTTTTACTGCTGTTCTGCGCCCTCTGATGAGTGATGTAGACTTTTTTCTCAGGTTTGGCACCTTTAGCGATGCCATTTTGTATACATGCGACCTAGATAAAAGCCAGACAGTCGGACCCACTGGGAATAAAAAATTGTCGGACCTTATCAAAATTTATCGGACATCGGTCCCTCGGACCGATGTATTTCGGGAAGTCTGCATGTAATGCATTCAGACTTCCCAAATACAGTGGTGAAAATATGCTGTACGGATTGTGATGATTTTTAGGGGGAAAAAATTTAAAACAAAATTGGCAAAAAGTGTCTTAGAAATACAAGTTTTCCTCCGATTTTGTTTTAAATTTAATTTCATTCGGTCTAACAGATTTCGTTTCGGTCTGACAGATTTTCATGGTATGTCAGACCGGATGTCTGACACTATTTTTAACTTTCGGGAAGTCTGTGCATTTATTAATAAATTGAAAAGTGGGCCGAGTTGTAAACTGGTTACGATGCGAGTCGTCAGTGGTGCGAATCGTTATAATTATTGTTGCATTCACAACAAGACATTACCGTTTTGTCATACTTGTTCCTACCATGTTTTAAAAACAGTAACATAAAAGTTCCATATTTAATTTACCTTTTAAATGATCAGTTTATACCAATATGCCGTGTTTCCCTCTATTTTCTTTTCAGATAATATTTGTATAATCGCCGTCTGCTTCCGGTTGGTTAAAAAAAAATGGGATACTAATCGACGGTCTCCGGTCTCCGGTTTTCGAAGGTACCCTATACAAATCAAGATAAGATAAGATAAGATAAGATAAGATAAGATTTTAGATAAGACTGGGACAGACGATAATATCTTTCTGTCCCAGGATAAGATAAGCTTTTAGATAAGTCGGCAAGTTGTAAACAGTACAACATAAGCTCTAACTTAGAGCTATCATAAAACTTTTATGTACTTCAATTTTTTTAGTAACTATCTAATTATGTATAAACTCTAGATGTTAACAATTACTATTTTAATTAATTTATATATTTTTTATTTTAATTATTTTTTTAATACAATACGTACTGTACATGTCACTGTACTACAGTATGCTTTAATTAGTCATCTTATTGCATAGTTCTTCTCAATCTTGCTATTTTTATTTCATGCCTATATAGTTGTTACTATGTTTAAATGTTTTTACTTTTCAGATCTGTTATATGTTAGTTAATATGTTTTATGTCTTTGTTATTGTCGGTAAATACAATGTAGCTTAGATTATTAGCTAATGTTTCTTGTAAATTGTAAATCGACTTTAAATAAAGTTTCTTGTATCGTGTAAGAGCTTTTATAACCGACTGTATATAACATAAAGTATAATATCAACAAAGATACAAACATAAAAGATAAAAAAACGATGGTCTCTTGGTTAGGCATAATTGACATGAATAGAAAAGACTTACATGTATTGACAATTGCTTATTAGTGTCAATATCTTGAATGATGAAAGGCTTCCTACGAAGAAACCTTAACATCGCCTCTACGTCCACCAAAGAAACGGCCTACAAAGCACTAGTCCGCCCCACAGTGGAGTATGCAAGCACTGTCTGGGACCTCCACGAGAAGGGAGACATACACCGTCTAGACATGGTCCAACGACGTGCTGCACGATATGTTAAGAACAAGTACCACAACAGGTCCAGCGTCACAGACATGCTTGCATACCTTGAATGGAAATCACTACAAGAACGTCGCAAGGAGGCCAGACTGATCATGCTCTACAAAGTCATCAACAACAAGGTCGCTCTAGACAACTCACAACTCATACCCTCCAACTCCACATCTACAAGAAATTCACACAACCTATCCTACAAGATTCCCTACTGCCGTACACAATACCGTCAACAATCCTTCTTCCCACGCACCATCAAAGACTGGAACAGCCTACCTCCGGATGCTACGTCAGCCGGTACAGTTGAGTCATTCCGTACTCATCTGTCCCAACTCTATATCTAAACCACACTCTTGTCCGTTTTTAACCTGCACTGTATATATTCCTCACTATTTTTACTCTTTCTTTCCGTCTTGCGCATTAACCTGGCAGTAAACTTCAGTAAGTTGAAGGTGGCAAGAAGAAGAAGAATAAAATATATACATGTATATAATAAATAATATGGAATAAAATATTAAGATGCTTATATATATTTTTTTGGTCTTTCAGATTCCATGTTTTTTCAGTTCTAATGCCAGAGACTTATAAAACAGAGGGATAAGAAATAAATATAGCTCTGTGGTAATTCATATAAATTATATTTCGACAGCCGAACAATTCCGGATGGATTTTTTTAATCTTACGTTCGCATTTCTTCAGATTTATCTTGAAAGCCTTTATCGTCATGAATTCGAGCTCAACTAAAAGCACAAGATAATCGCTCTAGACTCTTTGTTTGCAGTCAATTTAGCAATCTATCTCACAATCAAATCGACTCAAGATTCCACATCGCCTTGAAAACTAGGAATCTAATTGGGCGATGGACTTTATAATAACTGCCTTAATTAGAATCAATCTGAGACTAAAGAAATCCTACAGGTAATGTTATACACTTCACAGTAAGAATACTAAAAATATTGCTAAACACAAGTTTTACATTAAGGACAACCATGTCTTGCATATGAATAACATATCAGCTAACGAAAGTTATTAAATGTGTGCAACTCACTTCAAGATACATTTACATTACAGTTACATTTTAGTCCAAGCTTCAAACTAGAAACTAATCAAAACATATTTAAATTTACACATGCTCAAGCATTGACAAAATAAATCGTATTGTCACCATCATAATGCCGTATTGTCACCATCGTACTTTGGTATATACTGTCACCATTTTCTTTCTCAGAGAAAACGCGCTGGCCCTAACGGAACACCGTACCTAGCAGCAGCTTAAGCAGTACTGTCACCATCGTACATTCACTATCGTACTGTCGTACTGTCACCTTCGTACTGTCACCTTCCTGTTAGGCATGCGTACAATATTAAATAAAAATATGGAAGAAAACGTTCACCGTGTTTTAAAGTCTCAAAAATTGCCTAACATACACGTAAATTCTGTTATTGATGAGATTAGTTTGAAATTGATGTTGATAAAAATTAATCCAGGTCTTTTAAGAAAATATTATATTGTACAATGGTGACAATACGACAGTACGATGGTGACAATACGACAGGACGATAATATATTATAGATGTTGAAATATGATTTTTTTTCAAAACGGCATATATTAAGATTTTTTGATATATATGATCAGTACATGTCCTGGGATTGACAAATATGCATTTTGTTTGGATTTTAAAGGCGTTTTGAGCTCCAAACCCCAAGCGTCTGTGTATATTGGTTGCCTTTTGCTGTCTTTAAATAGCATTTCTTTTACCAATTCCTAGGACAAAATATTTGCAGGTTGAAAAAAATGGGCTCAATCAGATTATTTAAATTGAATAGCTCTAACAGTATAGAAGACAATGAAGTACGTTTGATCCTAGCTTTATTGTTTGTGAACAATGTCCAGATGACAAGCGTATTCGATCTTGGTAGTATCTGTCTCAATCTGTGTTTTACGTCACACCAACACAGTAAGGGCGGTTTCCCAGCTTTACTGGTGGAGGGAAACCTCAGGTGCACTTCCGTGCATTATATCAGGCATGAACGGGCGAACGGACACCTGAGTATAGAACAACCGACGTTTGGAGTCAACGACCCTAACCACTCGGCTAAGCACGCCTCAAATTCAACACAATTTACTTTTAACTTTGATATGAAAACTCGGTTATTTAGAAAGATTTATAAATTCTAACAGATTAACCACAATACATATTTCTACATTCAAATAGTCATGATGTAGAAAAGCCTTTTATTGGAAAATAAATATATGTTGTCATAAAAACAAGTAACACAAGCCATGTAGGAATACTGAGCAAATATTTATGTTCGCCTTTCGGTGGTTGACACATCACTGGCATTAATATGTTCGTCAACTAAAATCCTCAGTGTTTTCTTCAATCTTTTCAGACGTTTGCAGATCGCCCTTCGCTGGACTCACATCTATGGTTATATCGAGATCTGTTCGCCGGTACCTTTCCGGATAAATAATGAGTAACGGAAGAGCGACGGCAGCTGACCCCAGCAACGCTTCGTTCATCCATGTACGACCTGGCAGGGAAAAAAAAGCTTTTTTATGTCAAATGAATACAAAAATGAATAATTAGATAAGAACACAGTTGGGCTAAAACAACCGCAACAAAACCAACACTTAAGTATATGTGTATAGATATTTGAGCCGCGTCACGACAAAACAAACATAATGGGTTTGCGACCAGCATGGGTCCAGACCAGCCTTCTGATCAGGATCCATGCTGTTCGCTTACAACCCCTATAACAAATAGAGAAACTGATAGCGAACAGCAAGGATCCTGATCAGACTGCGCGGATGCGCAGGCTGGTCTGGATCCATGCTGGTCGCAAACCCATTATGTTGGTTTTGTCCTGCCGCGGCTCATTTGTGTTAGGCAATTGTGCCATGTATAACATATATACAGCGCTTAAGAAAGACACACACAGAGTTGTAGCACGAACATGCAAATTAAAAAAAGAAAGACAAAAAAAACCCAATTGTTTTGGCTGAATGATTTAAACGCATAAGCATTCACTCGAACTAAATATGCAAACAATTATATTTGTGTGAGAAGGTTATAAATATTCATTTTTTTTGTTTTCGTGAATGTTAAGATAATGGTTAATTAATACCGATATTTGGGATGAGTAGAACACAAAGGAAGCAAATGCCAACAATGTTGTTAAGCAGTGTAAGTAGTCCGCCAGTAACGCCCTCGGCGACCGGATAACTCGCCTCACAGGCTATCTCGAAGAACAGAGGAATACCGCCGTTGATAAATATACCAATTAGAACACAGGCAGTGTACATCGAAACTGTAAAACAGATAAAACAGTCGTTTTTTAAAATCATAATTGCTATCTTTTAACATAACTGGAACATAATGTACTCAAACCAAAAACGTTTAGAAATAAGAAAAATTGGCAATACTTGTGTAGGTTGATGTCTTTAAGCCTGTAATCGCACAGCTCTTAACAATCTTCATGTTAGAATGATTTAATTTTGCATTAAAGATCACACTATTAATTGCACATAATAAATAAATAAAGACATAAATAATAAATAATATAAAATAAAATAAAATGTAATATGATAAATAAATAAATAAATAAACTATGCCTCAAACCATCACATGTAAAATTAAAAAGTTACAAATACATTGTATGTACAAAAGAAATGTGTGCATAAGGTTGGGCATCAAGTTCATTCATCAGTTATTAGAATTAGTTCCGAGTTAAGTTTTCATATGTATATGTCGGTGTTTCAAAATTCAATTGTCTTACTCAAGTCCGCCCACTAAGCTTAAAAGTGAGAGATCATCGGATTAGAAATTAAAGGGTTGCTAGTCCGATCCCTGGTTGAACAACAAACAAACAAAGTCTTACGCAGATTTAATGGAATGAATTGTTTCCACAGTAAAAAGAACCAAGTAGACGAAGCCACAGCACCTATGAACAATGCGATTAGAAATAACTTCATTCTCTTCATAAACATGTCTGAAAATCTAAGATAAAAAAACAAACAAATATGGAAAATAGTTAAGTTAAAGTTCATCCGGGCTATTTATCATTACTAATAAATGCACTATCAACAATGGTTATCCATACAGCCAGTTCACTCATATTCGGTATTCTCCTACTTCTTTTTGCTAATTTAACAGTTTCGTCTACATTATATAATAAAGTTGACCAGTATGTTTTAAAGGTAAGATGAATTCGAAGTAGTTGTACTATTTGAATACAAGAAGTTCCTAGAATGACATTTGATCGTATGAAAGAGACGTAAATTTTCCGGGTCAAAGTACTTATTTCAAGATAAAATATAACATAAGAAATTCATCTCCATCAATCCTTATTTATACAAATCACTTTCCTAATATAAATAAGACTTCATTTTTTATGTTAAAAATTTAAGTCTTACCTACACTGTATTAGTCATATGACGACTTTCCAGCTTTACTTGTGAAGAAATGCCTTAAAGTTACCCCTTCGTACAATATTTCAGACACACCGAGCGGTCAAATGAATAGAACAACCGACCTTCATAAAGCTAGCTAGATACCTTCCTTACATCATAGAATCCAATGTCCCTCGTTGGATACGAACCCACAGTCGTGTGTCGCAAGTGATTCCAAGTCAGTGTTTCTAATTTGGCCATGAAGGTACATCCCCCATCCCCAAAACGTATCACAACTATGTTACCCTTTACTGTCAAGAGAGTGTTTTAAACATACCTTGCTATAACAAGACCTGCGAGACATCCAGCTAATGTTTGCCAAAATCCCATGTACCCGGCTGTGTTCTGAAAACATAACAAGATTAGCGTTTAAAAACACATCAAGTAATAACCATATGAAATACGTAAACATCTTGATATTAATTATATAGACCTTTTAAAAACGATTTTTCCATAGAAACGGATGAAGCATTTCGCACATGCGCATTATACGTAAGACAAAACACATTAACGATGACTACAATGTATCATACTTAAAGGCTGTAATAGACGTGATTTCAAATTGTGTCACCCGGAAAACAGTAATTTTGGGATGACTTAAAACGTGAATTGATATTTGAAACAAATATACAAATGCGGAACTAATAAGTCAGAGATCCAAAAGCGGCTAGTTAGAATATGTTTGGTAGTTTCAGTTTTAAGTCCTACCTGAGCTATTGTTAGATGTCTCATTTTTAAATATTACCGGAAACATATTTGGAGGTTTCAGTATTTAGTATTACCTGTGATATGTTTAGAGGTTTCAGTTTTAAGTACTACCTGAGATATGTTTAGAGGTTTCAGTATCAATAATTACCTGAGATATGTTAAGAGGTTTTAGTTTAAAGTATTACCTGAGATATATTTAGATGTTTCAGTATCAAGTATTACCTGAGATATGTTAAGAGGTTTTAGTTTTAAATATTACCTGAGATATATCTAGAGGTTTCAGTATCAAGTATTACCTGAGATATGTTAAGAGGTTTCAGTTTTAAGTATTACCTGAGATATGTTTAAAGGTTTTAGTTTTAAGATATATATGAGATATATCTAGAGGTTTCAGTATTAAGTATTAAATGATATGAGCCGTGTCACGACAAAACCAACATAATGGGTTTGCGACCAGCATGGATCCAGACCAGCCTGCGCATCCGCGCAGTCTGATCAGGATCCATGCTTTCGCTTACAAACCCTATTACAAGTACAGAAACTGATAGCGAACAGCATGGATCGTGATCAGACTGCGCGGATGCGCAGGCTGGTCTGGATCCATGCTGGTCGCAAACCCATTATGTTGGTTTTGTCATGGCTCGGCTCAATTATATGTTTAGAGGTTTCAGTTTTAAGTATAACCTGAGTGTTTAGACGTTTTTGTTTAAAGTATTACCTGAGATATATTTAGATGTTTCTGTTTTAAATATTACCTAAGATTTATCTAGATGTTTCGGTATTAAGTATTACCTGAGATATGTTAAGAGGTTTCAGGTTCACGACCAGAAGAGATTGCCATACTTGTAAAACACCAGTTGGTATCGCACACGCCAATACAATCATCCAAACAGCACCATTACTGAAATACGTAAAGGCTTCGTATAATCATCACTATATCTGGATTTTTACACAATGGCAGATTAATTACTTACAAGTCACACTATCATTTTGTTAAGGCAAACCAAAACTTATTGTTCAAATTGGGAAATAATTGATTCAAAGAAAGGATGCAAAACCAAAACAGATAATAACAGCTATTGCTGCATATAAACACCACTAAATATGCAAAACAAGTTGCAAAAAACATCAAAATAAATAAATAAATAAATAAAAAATGCAATGTTGTCATACAGGCGCAGATACGGGATTTTTGCTTGAGGAGGACATATTCCAAGGGAGGGGTTTGACAACTTTTTGATATTCACTTTTTTTTTGCATGATTTTGCTACAAAAATGTAAGTATATATCCAGATCTCAGAGAATTTCTACATACCAGCCAAATCACATGGGATTATGAGCCCCTAAACCCCCTCCGTCTTATAATTCGCAATTTCCATGAAAAATAACATTAATTTGTTGGGAAAAAAAGTTTACTTTTCCATCAGATAGCATCATTGAAGTTTTTATTACTAATACTTGATATAATACTGAAATATCAATATTTAAGACATTATATGACTCATTTATCTATCAGAAATACTAACCATACCAGTTGGGAAAGGCCTTTAAGATAATCTGTCCGTTTGATGGACGCCGAGGAGCTGGGTGGTCTTGGTGGTTTATTAGGGAAAATATATCAAAACTAGAAGAAAAAATAGCACCCCAACACTCGCCTCTGAAAGTAAAATAATGACAAAAGTTTGGTATAATATTTTATGATACTACAATTCTAATATGTGCCCCTCTCCCCCCGAACCCCCCCCCCCCCAAAGATAAAAAAACAACAAAAAAAACAACAACAATTGTAATTGCGAGAGATTGTTATGTCGTGATTTTTACATACTGGAAAGACCCCCAGAATAGCGACCATTGTAGGTAATATACAATGTGAAAACATCTATAATTTAACATGTGAAATGAAACACAGTAATATGCAAACATAGCACTCCGCTTTTATTATCTACTTTGTTCTTCAGTAGAATATCATATAAAACAAACTACATGTATTTGATGATATTGTAATTACAAATATTGGAATAATTATTTTGTTACATTAGGATGTTTTTAAAATTTGTCCTATTTTTCATAGATTATTTTAGAGATACTCACGTATATATAAATAGTGTCGTATATCTGTCTCTAACCTCGATCTGTTTGTTGCTTCTGAAAGATAAAATCACAGTATTACAATAAAGTTTTATCTTTATTTTTGATTTAATAAAAATATACTTGACCAAGTGGTCAAACGCCCTTATTTCAAAATTTATGAAACTACTGTACATGCTTGTTAAGTCGATTTTCATTGGTTAATCATGGAGTTTATATTACCTAAATAATTATAATGTTGCAAATTTTGATTTTTTTAATTCTTATCAAAGAAAGCAAATCTATATTATGTTATGTTATTAAGTGTTATATATTTGTTGAAAAACTTGACAGGTAAATATTACCGTGATAAAATGATTGTTTTGCAATTATAACCATCGCCTCACGGTCCGGGTTTTATAAAACAGCCAACCGTTTGAATTAGGCCATATAACCTGTCAAAATGTGATAACTAATGACATGATACCAGGAAGCTGTCCAGATATCAATATATCTTATAGACGTTCTGTGGATAAGTCCGAGTGCCTGGTTACGATATCTATGGTATAAATATCAATATTGTTTCTACTCCAACCATTGGAGTTGTAGATTAAACCATATATTAAGCTTCTTCTAAAAAGCTGTGGAAAACGAGTATTATAGAATTATTGACTACACCCTGTGAGTATGATTTTATGAATTGTTCGGTTGACTACTGTTTGGAGCAATGAAATTGCAGCTATATTTAGTCCATATAATAAACATAAAAAACGTCTGCAAAATAGAGTAAATATACATGTATAATACAAACCTTTATGAGTTCCGTTAACATTTGTTTTTTCCAGTTCCCAGTCTGTATCTGATATATTTGACGTGGAGTTATAGTTACTATAGTGTGGACTAGAAACAACATGTGGACCTGCAAAACAAACATTGTCGATATCACAATTTCAATACAGAATTTATCATATTTAAAGTGGATATGTCTATAATGGAAGGTCAATAATACAATGAATAATTATGTTGAAAGCATTTTATATAAAACATAAAAACAAACCACAAAAGAACTATATACAGAAGTTGTTGAAAATTGCTGGACACTTATATCTGATATTACATAATTTTATTATACATGTATCTATATTACAAATAATAAATTGTTCTTCAACAAAATACATGTATAATCATTTATCATATAAATGTTTATTCTAAGTCAGTAAGAACTATATCAACATTTTTAAACAACGTTTTATAAGAATATCCAAATGATTCATTTCTACTGTTTTTTTTATCAATATTGCAAAATGTGCCCATTGTAGATCTAGCCACTTTAAATACTTTGTATCATAGTGTTGAAAATGTGTCAGAGTTAAATCGTAAACATATACATGCACAGTGCGTTAACTGGAGTCCAGGTATTAGTTACCCGCACTCCAGAGCATTTTGCTGGTGGCGACAGAGAAAGGGAAAGCAGTTGAAATATTATATTCAGATGCTCGTTAATTGGTTCCCTTTTTCTGGGGTTTCATATTGTGACAACAGGGTACGTGTTTTTATGTTTGACTATGATACAAAAGAGAAAGAACATCAAAACACTCAGCAATCTGATTAATACTCGAAGGCTACGCCCCTCGTACAAATCAGAAAGCCTCGTGTTCCGATGCTCTTTCTATTATATACTCAGATATCAAAGACCAGTGCACCAGTACAGTCTGTGGCCAATTTTTAATGCAAAAACAATATACAAAGTCAAACTTCAATTAATTTTGCAGGGTATACCAATACTTCGTCTTTTCTTTATCATGATTCTACAAAAAAAATATTATTCTTCCCACACCTACATATAAAGCCTCATACCCGCGATTGACAGAAAAATAACAATGTGCGAAGCACGAATTTGTTACGTTCTATGCTCATTCGTACCTGAAACAGGCTAACACGTGATCCTATTTTTGTTATTTTCATTTATTTACATACATACCTAAAATAAATGACAAGGCAAAGCCAACATAGTTAGAGAATGAAACTATTGCCGTCGCCGTAGCACGTTGATCCGACGGAAACCATATAGAAGAAATAGCTGCCGATCCAGCAAAGGGCACCGTTCCACCAACGCCGTTTAAAACAGAACACATATTTGCCAACCTGTATGAAAGTAAATACATTTACGGTCATTTTCCTCTTGGAAATCAGATTGATGGATGGAATAGCTATGCATATGTAATATATAAACGTTTTAAGAACATGAATTACAATTGACTTTACAAATAATTTTAGCAATCTATAACCTGGTTAAATCAAACCGAGCCAGCGACATTTTAAATTTTACCGTGTGTGGCTGTCTGTAAGGTTTTCATTTTCTCTATTTCAACTTTTTTCCGACAAAGTTTCAGTGAGAAAGTATTAAGAAAAACTAATATCTTAATAATATTGACATATGTGTATATAGAAACTATCATGTTACAATGTATAAACTGCCTTCTATACAATTATTATATGGTATTGTAAAATGAAGCTATATTTACAACATTAGAGGAAAATAATAAAGTACACATGTCTTATATACCAGGTAGCGGGTACGGGTTCCAAGCTTATACACCTAGCCACTGTGCCGACCATAATCAGGAAACTACACATTAACAAGGACAAACGCAGACCTGGAATAAATAATAAGACAATAATGTGATAATATATGGCTATAATTTACAATTCCATTTTAACCGATAACCAGCTGAATTTAAATTATAATTTAATAAATTGTGTCCTGCTTTCAATTTAGAACAGTTTACCCAAACTTTAAGAGCTATTAAAATACAAAATTGAGCTATCAACAGCATATACCTGACCAAACTGCAAGCTGGCCTGGCTCTGTGTTGATAGGAAATGCTTATCAATCTTGATTCCACCAGATTACAAGTTAAATAAATTAAATATATTACAATAAATTAGTTGTAAAATTACAATTTACAACAACAAAAAACTCATTTTAAAGACATTTATTTCAAAATCAGTCACAGGCAATTTATCTTGCACAACTATTGAAACAATTAAATGCATTTCTTGGTTATTTGATAATACTTAACTTCATGTTTTAATTACATCTGCGCTGACTGTCCATTGACAATATTTCTTTTTATACTATTTATCTTTAATTCACAAAAAGTTCATTAAAACGAAAAAAAAAATAAATAAAAAAAACTAGAAATGTGTCCATAGGACACGGGTGCCCCCACCGCGCCACTGTTCTGTCAATCTTATGACTCTAGGTCAAATATTTTTTGAAAACTAAAAATCTTTTACTAAGTAAAGGGCAAGAACTTTACAAATACTGAATAAATCCACAAGCAATCCCCAAGGTGCATAAGTACACATGCTGACCAACATTCTTGTAAACTTTCAGGCCTTCAAGTGAAATACTTTTTGAGCTATGCATGAACAAGTTGAAAATTGCAAATTTATCGTACTGTAAGTCAAGGGCAATAACTCTAACAAAACTGAAAAAAATCCACATGCAAAGTCCAATGTGCATAGCTTCACAGTGATGTGAATCATTATTCCTGTAATTTAGTGATGTTGATCATTATTCCTGTAAAGTTGGTTGATTCTAACTCAAGCACTCAAGGAACAAATAACAACATAATGAAACGGTTTTTACTAAGTCAAGGGAAATAACTCTACAAATACTGGATAAATCCACAAGCGAAAACTAGTGTGCAAAACTAAATATGCTGAGCAACCTTCCCGTAAGGTTTAATGACTCTATGTCAAATCCTTTTTAGGTTACATGCGACACAAGTTGAAAATTGCAAAAATTTTCTATGTCAAGGGCAATAACTCTAAAAAATACTAAATAAATCCAAACAAAAATACCCAGGTGCACAACTACACATGCTGATCAATATTCCTGTAAAGTTTCAAGACTCTAGGTCAAATACTTTTTGAGTTACATGCGACACAAGTTAAAAATTGCAAAATTTTACTAAGTCAAGGGCAATAACTCTAAAAATACTAAATATATCCAGACGAAAATATCCAGGTACACAACTACACATGCTGATCAATATTCCTGTAAAGTTTCACGACTCTAGGTCAAATACTTTCTGAGTTATGTGCGACACAAAAGAGAACGGACGGACGGACGGAAGGACGGACGGACAAGGGTAAATCTAAATGCCCGCCACTAAAGTGGGGGCACAATAAGCAATTCAGAACAACATGACACATAACAGTAAATACAAACCTTTTACATCCATGAAATAGCACATTGGCAGTACGGCTAACATGTAAGCTATATTTCCATAGTTACCAAACATCCCTATATCAACATCACTCCAGTTAAACACTATCTCGGCAGACTCGGCAATAGGTCCGAACGTGTTCCAGACAAAAGCCTGCAAGGATAGGAAACAATGTGAAAATATTCATAGATAAAAGGAAAATAAATGTACATGCATCAGTATCAAAATCAAAATTAATGAAGACTACATGTATTTTTGGTAAATTGAAAAGTCAGTGTCTCGTGTAGGAGCGGATTTAGTTTCTCGGATTAAACAGTACATATGGAACAACGGTCGTAAGAACCAAAATCGCCTTAAAACTTGAAACAATTCTCCTTGTAATAGGACTTACCGTCACATTGAAGGTTCCATGATAACCGCAATATGAATACATCTGCGTATGTTTCAAAATTCAAAATTGTACCAGTTCATGTTAAATGTTAAATTCTGCTTAAGCTGGTGCTAAGGGGCGTGGACGTTAACTTGCACTTTCGTGTACCGTCCATGAACAGTCTCAATCAAACCGAGCCTGCAACATTTTCAATTTTGCCGTGTTGGGCATTCTTTAGGGATTCTTATTTTCTCTATTTTACCCCTTTAACTATTTTGTTATATGCATGCAGTGTTATTACCACCTTATTATCTTAAATGAGCGTGCCCATCTTTCAATCTGGTACGATCATTCATCACTTTAGGGAAAATTAGAAATATATTCTGATGGAATTGAACGCGAACAGTGCGGGACCATCATCAGGTGGATTTACCGGTTGGTCTTGGCCTGCATTGGTGGCATTGATAAAATCTGTAGCCCCAGGCAGGCTTACAGTTAGATATGACACCAAGTAGATACGAATTACATTCATACATACATGTATTGGTACGTGCACTTATATCATTATCATAATATATATCCTCTATATGTGAATAAAACGGAAAGTACATTTACCTTCAAAAACGATTTTTTTTATTTCTTAAGAAAATGCAAACATGTGTTTTGTAATATATAAATTACGGATTTAAAGCATTTGGATGCTTATCACCTGAAGAAGATACCACTAAATATGAAACAATTTGTTATAAAAGTAGAAAAATGTAAACAAAGTGGTATTTTGACTACCATGCAAAATTCTAAGTCACTATAAATGAAAACAAAACATTACAAAAACGCACAAGAAGCAAAAGATGGTTGAACTATTGGTCACTCAGTATTTTTGAAAGCTATAACAGGAAACCAAAAAATTAAAACGTTTTGAGCGAAAAAAAGAGCATTTCCCGGTCTAATCGGCCTTTAAATACAGAGATAACATATTTATGAATGGAAACAAGACACGGTCACACAATCTAGATGTAAACATACAAGAACATACTTGACTGACACTACCAAGACAGAACACAGCCAGAACGTACCATCTTCTACCATATACCGCTGTCTCCGTGGCAACGATAGGTAGACGTTCCTCGACGTCTTCATCCGAACTCATACTGTCCAACTCCTGAAATATATAAAAGAACGACGGCCATATTACAATAAGCATATATCGTACAGTTGTAGAAAAATATAGGAGGCCATATTAAACTAGTGCGACCCACAGCAAGAAAAAAACATCCGTCAATTGTACTTACCTTTTGTCAGCAACATAAGTCAAACATTATACATACTATCGTCAAACCAATCATGATGCGTCACTCAAATTAATGGTCCGTAGCCATGTGTTTATTGTGTTGGCAAACTGCGTGCAATGGTTTATTATATAAAGGAACAGTTTCAAAAATATCTGAACAACAGTTCAAGAATCGAGCGTATCGTAAACAATTAAAGAAGTTCGTGTATTACAGAAATCGTAATTCAAATTGCACTTTGACCGTCGAAACTGGAAACGTCCAGCCAGAATAACGTGTACTTTTGCTCTGTGCCATTCATCTTTTGATAAAAATTGTAGGAGGAGCCCGGAAAACCACAGCACATGTTCTTGGCAAAGCTGCAGAGAGAGTTGGCTCTGGCTAAGACGCAATGCACCAACCTGGCAGCCATCGTAGACGAGGTAGTACCTGATTACCACCATCTAGAGGATGTTCCAAAATAAGGGGCAAAACATCCAGTGACAGATGGGTACTTGGCTGATGATGTCTCCGTTCAGCAGTATATCTGTATTTTCCGTCGAATGCTGTAGGATTTAAGATATTTTGTCCGCCAATGGCGTTGAAATACCCGTGACAGTTGCCAAGGATACGCAACGACGTCATGTTCAAAAACGGGCTTTGATGGTCAACTTTGACGTCATGTGTACAAAAATTGGCTGAAACTATTGAAATAAAATCAACGAAATCCAATCAGAAATATGGTCAATTTTTTGCATGCCAATTTTCAAGACGCTACTCGAAAGTTCGCAAAGTGTCGCGTTCTACCTTAAGTATCATAATACCTATTTACTTTTCTACACAACAATTTACGTATCATAACAACAATATGCATATTATCAGATCGTTTTATATATCATCACATGCATCGTATCACTACAACGTTTTACGTATCACCACAACGTTTTACGTATCACCACAACGTTTCACGTATCATCACAACGTTTTACGTATCACCACAACGTTTTACGTATCATCACAACAATTTGCGTATCATCACAACAATTTACGAATAATCACATCGTTTTACGTATCATCACAATTTCGCGTCATCACAACGTTTTTCGTATCATGTCAACAATTTACATATCATCACAACGCTTTACGTATCATCACATCAATTTACGTTTTATCACCTCGGTATTTCAGTTTTTACAATTATTACTGATAGAGCAATTTCAAAGCGTCAAGAAAACAGAGAAAGATACATTATATATGATAACGTTTCCTTAATGCAGTCATTTTTACGCACCTATTTCCTTAATCCATCTTTAATGTATTCTCTTTTGTCCACCACTGCAATTTAGTACAGTCGTAGTAGGGAAAGTTTACAACTTGACTGAATTAGATAATTATAAATTGATCAATGATATATAAACCTCCATTCTGAACCCTTGTGTGTGATAACTATTTATCTTTATGATAATAATTGTTGTTATCATTTAATATCATTATCAGTTAGAAAACTGCTCTGTTCTGTTATCATTTACTAATAAATCAATAATCACATGACCCGAATAGTGTCTATACTAATTATGTTGATAAACAAAAATTGTTATCACTTAATCATTTTTGAACGAGGTTGAATTTCTAAATTTAGATTTATCTATCAAAAGTGAAATTTACGGTGTAAAGCTCAGCTGATATCAGAAACATGAACATTATGTTGCATATCTGTAAATTACATTGATATTCAAACAAAACATTTCTTTTCAATTAGACTTTATAAAAAAACATGAATAAAATTATGAAATTTACTTAAAAAAGCTAAAAAATCACGGCATCTCGTAAAACGAACACATTTTCATTTCCCGCATTTCCAATATCTATATAATTTTAATGTACTTTATCAGCCCATTGTAAATCGAACACCGAAAGATCTTTAGTTAAAACTATTTGTTTAACGACACGGAAAATTGCGAAATATTTCGATTTTTTCTCGAGAAAATGAAAAATATTTTACCACACAACGTTATCCATGAAAATCTAGTGCTAGGTGCAACAGCTGACACATGAATCTATTATTTATTCTTAATTTGTGTGTAGATTGTGTAACATATTTCGTTCCTTTTCCAATTGATTAAAAAACATTGAACCACGAACGTCATTGCGTGGGTGTTAATAATTTTTCTAAAATTTTCATTAATCTGCGTATTTTTTTTATTTCATTTTCCGGACATTTCTGGATTTTTTAAAATTTTGATCATGTTCTAGCCTTCGTATTCAGTCATGCGTTCCACTTAAGATGTCTTAATAATACATGTATATTGGGTCTACTTTCTTTCTTTCAGTGGCTCTGAAACGTGAGGCTATACAAAAGTAATCTGAAAAATATTTAATACTTAGCTACGTTTTCTAACAGTCTTATTTAAAAAGCTTTTGACATAAACATGTTTAGAAAATTTTGACATAAATCTGCTTTGAAAATTTTGACATAAATCTACTTACAAGTGGAACATTTTCTCGCTTATTTCAAGAGGGAGAGCATTCAGGAGTCGCTGGTTCGAGTCTCGAGCGAGGCGAAATTTGTTTGTGACCAGTTAAGCTGGGACATTGAGTCTAACAGTCATTTGTCTCTCACCGCTGATTCGAAAATCATATGGGATAAGCAGTCGGTCACTTGCGGTGGAAAAAAATATTTAACTGGTAACTGTCATCCACGAACGCCGGCAAGCGAGATGTGACCATGAATGTGTTGAAATCAACGTAAAAATAAATATATCATGATTATTAGAAAACAAAAACTTGATTCATCTACACGTTTTATTGAAGATAATTATAAAAATAAAGAGAAACTGTTTTTGTTTTATTCTCTTTTTGTCAGATGATTTGATTTCATTTTCTTTTATCAATGAATGATAAGAAATTGAAAATACGAGGAAACTATGGAAGCCCTGGAGGGACATTTTAAATTAATATATAAAACTTATTATTTAAAATTTAATTCTTAATATTTAAAATTAGATTTTTAATATCTAATAATTAAATCTTATCATTAAAAAATGGACGCGGGAAACCATTCCGTTGACAAATTGACGCCACAAGTAGCGGCAGCGAGAATACGAGTAGCGAAGGAAGTAAAGTAAGTTGGACTTTTTATGTATTGTCCAGGTCAAGCAAATACGAGGGCTGTCCGGAAAGTTCGTAGACAAGGCTACAAAATTATTATAAGCAGTCATATCAATATGATGATTGAAAAGTTTGCTAAAGTATTTATCTGCTACAAATTTCTAAATTAAAAAACATGATAAAAGTAATATACGCAAACCACCAATCACCATGGCAACATGATCAACGAATTACGGAGCACTTTGATTTCATGACGATAGCTACACAAATAATAAGTTGCTAAAAGTTGTAATTTTAACGCAAACTCTCGTTTTAATTTTGTGACATCAAAGGATACTATTGCATGATATTTAGTGAAAATAATGACGTCATACGCAAATAAACAGCTTGTTAACAACAGTGATAGGCAATGAAGGTGTGTAAATTTTGTGGTGCAAAAGTGACGTCAAATTCAAGGACGGAGCAACGTAATGTTATTTAACTTCATAGCAACGCTAATATGTCACCGACTGATATTTTAATCTTTACTTTAAAACAAAATCAACAATAAATTATAAAAAGTAACTTGTCTTTCAATGTCAAACAAGATTAAAAAAAACGGTGATGACAGTATATCGTATAAGAAACGCTTCAGACGACAAAAAGTAGCATAGCCGAAATATCGCCGATTGTGTTACAACAATCTTTGAAAAAGACAGACATCTCACACACTGTATGGGAACCAGTGACATCTTTGTTTTAGGATATGAAATTCATAAAGTAATGGCAAAGAAATATAACATGTATTAAGTATACGCCAGACAGGTACCATGGCTGTTGGAATCGGAAGAAACTGAATAGTTGGAAAACGTGAAGTTAATTTGACACCGTTGACGTTGTCAAAGTGCTCCGTGATGATGTATATATGTTGTATGTAAATACGGTTAAAATACAAACGTAAGTCACAGTTCAGTAATGTTTGATAAACGTGTTCGCTAGATATGTATAATTTTGCTGACAAAATTTGTACAACGTATGTATTGTTATAGAATAAAAAATGAAGAAGTATATGAACTTTCCGGACATCCCTCGTATAACTGGCAAGACGAACTTGTTTGGTATGAGATAAAACACAACACTTAGGTTGAATGAAATAGGGCATTTATTAAATGCCATAAATGACAAATGTTACATAATAACAAACATGACAAATGTTACATAATAACAAACATGGCATGTACATATTTGTATCGAAATAACCAAACTGGGAGGTAAAAACCGCCAGATTATGATAACATTGTAATGTAATTCAAATAGATTACAATCTTAACAAAAGTTATGTAAGATGACAAAGTTGAACCAAAAACCATCTACATAAATATAATAAAATGGATTGCTGATCAAAAACAATTGACCAGAAAAAATAAATATTTTCCAAATCGTGGTCGACTCGCCCAGGAAAAACCATAGTTTGGAAACCTGTGCCCTTTTATCTTGTGTCTAGTACCACTTGATGTAGGGCTCCATCCTTGGAAAATAGTTTAAACATTCTATACATTAAAAAGTGTATAACATATGACTAGATCATAAGTATTTATGACAACAAATAGAAAAATATTTGAAAGAAATAATATAACATCGACTAGTTTTATAAATCTTTGCATGAACAATATACATAATATTATATATATATATATATATATATAGTGTATCTCATGAATAGTTGCACAAATAATTGAGATAAACAATAAGTGAAACAACTGATTCATTAAGGATAAATGAAATGGTATTTATATCAACATCAAAA